GGGTCCATGCATAAAACGAACAACAGCAGAGAAAGGCTGTCACCTTGAAGGATTCCCCGCTATATATTTCTCTCCATTATGGTTTCTCCATTGCTTTCCAATGTAACCGACCATCTAGAGATGATGCTTCTCAGAAACCTAACAATCCACATTGGCATGTTGAACCTTTCGATACACTTAATCAAATAATTGTGACTCACTGAATCGAACGCTTTTTCAACGTCGTACCACGTGGTGAATAATTGATTTCTATGCTCTCTGCAGATCGCCAGGTTCAAAAGTGCCTGCTCTCTTGCACCTTGAACCTTTCCAACAGTTTCTAATTGAATATTTGCAAGTTGTTTTCTCGTGGCAATATCTAGCTGTATGACCCGTGCCGTGCCACACATTTCGTTGTCAACTTGTAATGGTTTGACATGCAGGTGAGTGGCCGAAGTTATTACCTTTGTTTGGGACATATTTAGAAATCAGATACATTGTTCCTTTGTAGAACCATGGGTCCTGTTCCTCTCCATCCAAGCAGATCCGCCTAGTCATTTTATACAGATCTGGATACAAAGAGGTGCACTTCTTAATGAAGAAGTTGTAGATTCCATCAGGGCTCACCGCTTTTCAGTTGGACAAACAGGAAACTATCTTCCAAAATTTGGCTTCAGATGAAAAAGCATTGTGCACTTCAGAGTCTGGAACGAATTCTTCTAGATATTCATCGTCTCCCATTTTCGAGTTCTACATTGCGGCCCAGAATTCCCTGAATTTTTCCGTCCCTACATTGTGGCTAACGGATTATTCCTCAGTTAGTTTTCTATAAAACCGCCTTCTAAACAACTTAAATCTGATGTTTTGAATTTTGAAAGCACATCGAGCCTAATTTTTTATTTTAATTTCATAAACACTCACACGTTCTGTTAGCATGCTCAAGCCCTCATGACAGTCACGTTTGAGAGCAAGTATGAGATTCATACACTTTTTAGCCTCCTTCAGGTTTTTCCTTCAAGTACTTCACGGGCCAAATATCGCTCTGTGAAAGTTTTGTGGAAGTTATTTTCATTTATCTTTTTTTCTATGCTTGCCTTTCACATCGATGGCTTCTTTTCGCGCCTTGCAATATCTTCGTAGCACAGTTGTGCAACCTGGAACTGGATTTCAAGATCAGTCGAACGTGAAGGGACTTTGTGTTGGCATATTCACCCGCTACTTGGTTCACCGCTCCAAGTATAAGCGAGTCAACTTTCTCCGACATCATTTTCTAAATCCACTTATCTGGTCTACCTCACGTCCTTGTGCTTCTTGCATCAGCACTAAATATTTCCATTTTACATCTAGATAAACCTTAGACTCGTGCAGTGTGTTTTGCTCGAAGAACGTATGTTGTGTTTTGACACGTTTCGTTGACTCCTCAAAAACCGTTTCTGCGAACACGGACGTCCTGCAATACTGATGATTGAAGCATTCGCTTTTTTCTTCAATTCTTAAAGCTAATCGCACACACAAACTTCTTGCAATACGAGAACGACACAACGGCCGTCCCCCACTCGGCATCCTCCCGAAACTGTCAAGAACCACCTTCAGCACTTCACCTGTACAGCTGTTTTGCAGAACCTCGATTCCTCGAATGATAACTTCAAGCGTAATCATCCTACTGGTTCCTGGTTCCGTAAGCTGACAGAGTGCTCTCCTACATCTTTCACGGAGCTTTTCACAACCTCATTGCTTTCCCATTGTTTTCCACTATGATTCCAGATGCGGTTTTTCTCCGTTCATCCTCCATTTCCTTCCCAGACTTCTGATTTGCTGACTGCATGACTCCGCAGTCTTCCTCCTTTTGATTTCCATCTCGTTTCGCAACGGGCTTTTGTTCCGCTACATTCATGCCATGTGTGTCAACCTTCACTTTCTTCCCTTGTTTCGTCTTCGTTGCTCCAGAAGTACTGCAACAAGGGATGGCATGAGCATGTCGTTCTTTTTCGCTTCTTGGAGGTCCTGCGATGTGAAAAGTCCTTCAGACTCATTCCCAGCCATTACTTAACTGATCTACTGGTCTGCTGGAATGTTCTCTCGTTCTGCTACCATATCCACCGTTCTGGCATCGTTGGATGTCGATTGTTGTCGCAACTGCTTGCATTTGTACTTCCGCCATTCACTTCCATCGTCGCATCATAACATTGCCATAACAAACAGAAAAGAGCAGAGAAAAGAATGGAAACAGAATTTACTAGAAAATGTTGTGCTTCTTCCAAGAACAGGCACAATCTTTCGTCCACAATTACCTCAAACTCAAACTTGGATAATATAACCGATATATATAGAGAGAGAAAACAAACAAACAAATAAACCGAAGAAAAGCAAAAAATGAGACGAAGATATAAATGGCATCAATTAAGGAACATCAGTTTAGGGACAGATGAAATTTCCAGATTGTCTTTATTTTCTAAATTTATGATCAACAAAAATGGTGTGGTCCAAAGCGCAAGCATGCATTACGATTCACTAAAATCCAATCACGAGATTAACTAATATAATTTTGCATGACTTGCATTAAACCCTTTCACAACCAGCCAACTGAGTAAGAAAACAAACTACAGGCAATATCAAAATCGAAAAAAAGTTCTAACTATCCATCAGAATGCTAAATCAGAAATTTTTATTGCAGTATTGTTCGTTTCGAAAGCATATTTTCCACCTACTTGGAGATTATTTTGTAATAAGATACGAAATAAACAATAAGTGTACACTGTTTGTAATTTTTTATTAATTTTTCAAAACTCTTCAAAATGAATGCTATTAGTTCCTCAAAATTGTTTCTCTTTTTTTATAATTTTTGAATTTTATCGGTTTAACTGTTTACAACTGCTATGAAGTTATTATCTTAGATTTCATTTAATAAAAGAATTTTTGTGTTAACTATTAATTGCACAGTCTGAAATATCTCTCTAATATTGTGCGAAAAAATGTTGTGAAATAAATTTTGAGAAGCATTGCTTTTTTTGTGAATAATGGTTTTAGCATTAGTTAATAGTTAATACTTACTTATTCAGTTCTGAATTAAGCCGGTTTTGATTCTAGTTTTCAACAAAGCTGTTCCACAAAAATAATAGGCTTGTTTGAAAGAATCTCATAAAGCTGTTTTTAAGTAAGTTTAAAACCAATGTGCCCACTGTGTCATGGTTTTATTGTTTCAATAATTTCTATATAAAAACAATTCTGCTCATTGCAAGCTGGAAATGCTTATTGTTAATAGTTCTTACTTTTCAGAATTAGGGTTGGGTCGATCTGCTCGAGCTACGTGTGCAGTCGCTGCCTGGCTTTCCCCAGCAAAATGCTTTAGTCTCAGTTCATTCTGTAAAATTTCATGCCGTAAGTTGCAGACTGATTAAACTAATAGACTAAAATTTACACTAATCTGTATTTAAATTTCAGTTTTACGATTAGATAAAATTGTCGTTTACAAATTAGCTGCTAGATAGTAAACTAGATATACTTGATAAATCTTAGTCATTCAATACACAGTAATAAAACCACGATTCTTTCATAATACCTTTCTATACTGTGCAGTATAGTTGAGCAATGTTGGCTCATCTTCAGATTGAACAGGGATATAAGTGTATTTTGATTCCTGAAAATAGCAAGAAAACATTTAAAAGTGGATAAACAGAAGTAATGGCTTAGTAGATGCTGGGAAGCGAAATTCCTTTATTTGAATTAATTTTTCTTTAATGTCCATTGAAACTTTTTGAAAGAAATTTATTGCTATAAACTGTATTGAAACTTTTCTGTTGCTTTACACTTTCGACCGTTTCTAAGAAAAGTGTGAAGTTTGCAGTTTCCAGCAGAAAAAACAATTTGCACAGAAAAGTTTTGTTTCTAGCAATAAGTTAACCATGCTTGGTAAACCTCTAACTAGAATAAACTAAGTACTTCATTAATTTTTCATTGAAAGTAGAGTTAATCAAGCCAATATAGATTTAGTAAACAATTTCTAAAATGTTGTACCACACAGTTAATAAACTGGATCTTTTTTCTTTCCATACGAATTATTAAAGAAGAAATTATTAACGTCTGGCTGACAGAGTACTTTTTTGACAGATATTTTTATCATTAGTACGTATTTTAAACTCAAAGATTGATACTACACTACAAATAATAACTGTCAAAAAAAATACTTTATCATTTAGAACTCTCTTGGCTATTTTGTTTGACATGTTCGTTCTTATTCTTCTTCTTACTATTATTTTTTAGGTTGTTCTTTGTATCGTAGCTGTAAATAAAAGTAAATTGTTAACACCACACAAATAGTTTCAATGTCAAGTGTCATTTGTAATTATTTGAAACTATTAGTTTAATTTTTCAACTAGCTTATAGCAAAACTACAATTAAGTAATGTATTACTTTTGAAAATTCAAAAAAATTTTTTAATTTTAAAAAGTTATAATTAATACACAAAATTATTTACAGTCTTTATAGCAAGCAAAGACTTCAAGACTTGTGTAACATTTGAAATGAGATGACTGCAAGAAAATTTAGGGCTGAATGAGAAAATTTAGGAAAAGAGAGAACAAAAACTTATCCTTCTCATTTGCAGCATTAGGAAGTTCAGCAACGCTTAGCTTCTCCTTTTTTTTTTCATATTTACGCAGCTACTACCTTTATCTTCACCTGCATCTGCAGTACAACAACTAATTCACTTCCTTTTACTCTATTTCACTGCCTAATTCTGTTTCCCACTAATGTCAGTGTAACTGCTGAAGTTTTCAGTGGTTAACATATTATCGCAATCACTGTGCACTTAATGACTCATTCTTTTTTTATCATTTTCATATTTCTCGAAAAATTAAACTTTAGATAACATTGATAGACTTAGCAAATGACTAACTGTAAGAAGGAAAAAAAATTGTTTTTCTTTAGTTTTTATTCAAATTAGAAGTAAAATTACATAGAACCTTCTTATTGCTGGTAATTAAGTTCTTAAATTAAAAAAGTATAACAATGCATTTATTTGTGATTTGAAAATATAAATATTTGTTTTGCGAGAATGTGAATAAATGTTATAAAAATCAAAATTACTGCAATGAAAACACATTAAAATTAATCGAAAAATTTTGAAAAAATTCACCAAACATGACATTTGTTCATCTTATTGAAACTAGATTTCCAACAGCTGTAATAGAAGAAAAAAATTACATTAACTTTCCATAGCTTTTTATTATTTTATTTCATTGTTTTCACGAGATAGTACTATTCGCCAAGGTGTGTTTTTGATGTATAGCACTTTTTGATGTATAGTAACTTCAAATTTGTTTGTATTTAAGGAGTAAAATCCGTGCTGCATCAAAAGATGCTTTCCACTATTAAGTTAGGATTGAGCTGTTTTTATATAAATGTATTTTTTTCTAGCATATAATTTGTATGAAAGTGAAATAACAATTTTTACAACTCTTTTTGTTTACAAATTAAAATTTTTTATTCTCTCAATTTTAAAAGTAAATAGAACACAAAGAATAAAAATAATAGCAGACTTTTACCATTATCCAAAATTTCTATGCAAACAAATGTGAGAGCTGTTCGCAAAAGCATTTAATTTTTTATTCTACATTCCTTGCACTAATAATTCAAATCCATCTTAGTTTTTTGATTTAAAAATTTTTTTTAATATTTAAGTATGAATTCCTTCATTTTAATTCAAAAGTAAGACTAATATCATTCTTTAAAAATATTTTTGTTCCGAAATATTGAGCAATGACTGGATATAACACGTTGCGATAGTGTAAAACTTTGTTTATGCCTGATAAAAAGCATTGTATTAATTTGTTCATGTTGAGTATTCAGTTCAAACTGCATACATTCGCTTGTTCCCATCCGAAAGTTTCGATAGAAACACTTCGCAACCGAAAATACTCCATTTTTTTTATCCTAAAATTTTCTACCGGTTTTATAATATGAACCACTCAGCATTTGAAGAATCGTCACAATTGTTTTCTGAATTAATGGTCCAATAATTTCTACAAACCTAATATCTCTCTTGAGATCTTTAGAAGCTAAAAATCATTAAGAGAAACTTCTTTCTGCTCACTAACAGTGTACCTACCATTACCTCTCTCTAGTTTTGTTTCAAAAAGCATGGGCTAAGCAACTTTGACACTGGTCCAAGTTATTGTGTGTGCCGTCTTATCTAGTCTGAGAGCTGCAAAACTCATCACCTTTCCTGAGACACTACTATTTCCAAACCTTTTTATCTAAGCTCGGAATCAAAAGTATTACTACTTCTCCACGCTCCGCTCATTTTTTTCACAAACCATTTGCTGTGTAGCTTAATAAAGTAATGACTGGTTCTATCTCCGGAAATTTATTGCATTTCGTTGGCCTACGAATCAGCTGAGCGTGATATAAGATAGAGACGAAATATATATCCCATGTAACCACTCAGAATTTAATTTACAAGTTTTATTCAGTCTCTCATATCTTTAGTCCTAAAAATCCTGATAGCAAGAAAATATGACAGATGTATATCTCATTACTCACAGGTGTTAGGTGCTCAGACGTTACAGAAGAACTACAGTGATGAGAATGAACCTGAGATAAAAATGTGCATATATTTGATAAAAAGTTTTTGAAACATATTTCCTAGCACAATCATCTTAACTTTAATCTCTTCTTATATTCAGATACGAGACATTTTCAACTGACATAAATTCTAACCGACCCCATGTGCAAGTATTATGCAATGAAATCAAGTAATCAACCTTATTTCATATAGTTTGAAGAGTAAGTGGAATATCAGAAGAGATGAGAGACAAAAATGTCCGCTGTTAGGACTCTCATTTATGAAAATGCTCTTTATCAGATGCAGATACTTTACAAAATATCTTTTTTTTCGAAATTAAGCACGAATTTTTGCTAGAACCTTAAAAAAACAAAATCCCGATATATTTCATAAGACATAGGCCAAGTCAGGTCACACAATTCTTAGGAGCAAACCAGAAGTACAAATCCTTTAAAAGAAAAAATTTGACCCACAAGCAAGTTTTAACAAAAAATGAATCTAATTATTTACTGACAATTTCTTTATCACTGATTCATCACGTTAACACAATAAAGAATAAACTAAATGACCAATCAAAATATGTTCAAAGGCAATTAATCAAAATATGTTACAAAAACAATTACATTATTAAAAAACGCCAACAACGAGCAACAAATCAATGAATAAATAATACTGAAATAATCAGTCTCGATGAAATAACTATCACTTTATGCTGAAAACGTGATCACTCCATCGTTGTTCATAATAAGTATGGTATGATTTCAGAAATATGTGAAAAAATTTCCACGTTATGTTTATCTATAACTGATAATGGTTATCACAATTCTAAGTGAAAATTTATCACAGGTAGGGTAATATTAAGAAATAGAATCAAGTGCTTCATTTATCAGACACAGGCGAATACAGAAAATAGTATTTAACTCGCAGTTGTCATTATAAATCTTATGTTGCCTAAAAATTGACCAACAATTAAGACGTAACTGAATATTTCTGATATGAAACATGCAACTCTCTTTATCATGAAAAATTATACAAGCCAATAATTCAACAATGAAAATCAGCTTATGAATTAGAGACATTTCGGTAAATCAGAATGATAGTGGCCACAATAAATATAAGACCAAGCTGATATGAGAATTTAACAAGAAAATTATGATCAAAAAGAAAATTATCATTTTATTTTAACGGCATCTAGATTTTTACAAAATTATGAAATTTATTACACCCATCACTTTGAAAAGTACCATCAACCATAAGTTTCATAAAATATGTCATCATGCATACCCCTAACTTGAACAATATTTTTGATTTCTTAAAATAACGCTTGCAAACAAATATAAAATCATTTCAGCATCAGATGAATAATGATAATGAGTAAACATGTGTTGCAAATGTCCCGAAGCTATCTATCAACATCTGTTTCCACATTGCAAAAAATAAATAAGATATTACGATATATTTTGGAGTTAGTAAGACAAAATGTTTTTTTTAAAGGTTTAGAATACAGAAAACGGAAAATTCCGAAGTGAAAGTCTGGAAATAGTCAACATAGACAGAATATAAAATAAGAATCAAAATCTCATCAAAACGAGATGAATACAAATTACGATATAAATGATTACGGAGAGAACACATGTTATCAGCCATATTTAATTTTCAAAAATTGGAAAATTTGTAAAACAGATATTGTATATTTTAAAACCAAGTCTGTCAATACCCATTTGATCCTTCAGTAAGATATATAAAGAGAAAATTAAGTAAGCATAGAAGGTAGGGCAAACACCGCTTGCTACAGTTTTCAAATAAAACAATATGAAATTTATTTTTCCAATTTCGATAAAAAGAATGATCGAAATAATTCGTCAGCAAACAAAAGAGCTAAAAAATAAAAGCTCTTAGTAACAATGTAGAGCATGATGCCTTTGTCTACTACTCAACAAAAAGCTCTAACCCTATCAGTAAAATAATTAAAAAATTCATGCCGTTACAAATCTGAGTCTAGATCTTCGCTCCTCAATAAAACGCGCAAATGTTTTAGCAACCAGTAATGGAAAGACAAGAGAGACGTCAGCAAAAACTTTTACAGGTTTACAATCTTCTTTAATTTTACCCCAACTTACTGCTTCATCTGGTCGAGCTCCAGAATCGCTTCCATCAAATTCCTAAATAAAAATGCAAAAATAATCTACAATCCAACACATATTGTTTTGTTACAAGCATATTTATACAGTAATTATAAAACTAATGAAAATACCTGGCCAGTGTTCACATATACAGTGTAATCAGATCCATTTCGCATTAGGTTTGCATTATTGATATGATGCTTTACAACACCACCACCAAGAAGAATCACTCCAGTTTTATTCGACCGAACCGCCATCGTATTGATATGTCGCACATCCTCAAAAAATAAAATATTATAAAAATAAAATTAAGTGATGTGATCTTAACAATTTATAGATTGTACTAATAATTCACTGATAATTCTGAAGAAGATAATCTAAATTCCAGTTCATGGTACAAGAGTATCCAAATTTTTAAAAGCTTTATTTTTAACTCGTCTTTACTCGTATCTACACAGGCCGATCTATGAATGACTAATTTTATCAGATAGATTGAAGTTCGTCATTGAATTTTTTTCCGAATAATAATTTCAACTGAATTTCTGATCACAACCTCGATATTAAATAGATATCATTGCAAGAAAAATGTTTGCTACCAAAAGCTAATATTGATTCGCATCATCTTTGAATGAAGTTCCAGAGAAGATTCTATTACTGAAATTCTCCAAATCAGAGAAGAACAAAGGTAAGGAAACAATGAAAACTGACCTCCACAATATCCAATTTGATTCCTCCATTTCTGAATGAATGAAAATATAACATATCTCCAAGCGATCCATCTGTTAAAGCAGGACTAAAAATTGGTATTCGATTCTTATGCGCCCAATAGCAAACTGATCTGACATCATTAATTTCTGCACCGAGGCGATCAATAAGTTTTGATGGACTCCACGAAAATCCCTCGACATTTTGCTCTGTTTCACATTTATCCAGAATAGGCATTATCCATTCTTCGAAACGACAGTAATTATCGTTAGGTATCAAAATGTTACCTGCTCTGCAAGTGTCTGACAACTTTTCCAACACCATATTTATCTAACATCTAAACAATTCCGCACTATTAAGTTTTTCTTAAAATTTTGATAGTAATTTTTTGGCATCAAGACTATCAAAAATTAGAGGAACGTACAGAAAAAATGATATCTGGAGACCATAAAAAAGTGTAAAAAACTGGAAAATAAAAGGACTAATTCATGAAAACAATAAAAATTGGTAAATATGTAGAGAAAACAAACAATCACCTGTTTAATCCATCACGGCGTAACACTTTTCCATCAAGGTCAAACGAGCCCAAATATGACGGTGCCAGGCATTTTATCAAATCTTCCTCTACGCCACCCGCACTCGTCACAATACAGTCTACCAAATCATGCTCAACCAAGTATCGTATACTCTTTAAAAAAGGAAGACTTAACAAGGTTAGTGCACATAGTATTTTCTAATTTTTATATCTTCAGATACTTCAAAACCAGTGTAAGCAGAGATTAATATTAATGCTAAGTATTCAAAAATGACGACGATGCAAACCAAAAAGCTTTTTAAGAAAAGTAAGAAGAATTTAAAATGTTTTATGCAAAAACTATGACAACTCTACAACGTGAACACTCACTCCTAAGCAAATGTCACATTCCTACTTCCATTCAAAACTTAGTTCCCAATAATCTTAAGAAAATTATTAAAAGATACTTCTCGAACGCCTGATGTAATAAGGTTACTAGTATACCCAAGAAATATTGTACAAGCCCGTCTCTTTTTTTCCTTTGGATACGGTAACATTATTTCACCTTCTAAATGTTCCTCGCGTGACGCTATCATTTCATTGATTTGCTGAAAAACAGCAAGTTATTTCTACTTCTCATTAAAAATAAGTTATACCTAGACAAAAATTCACCTCAAGCACAACCTAATATTCTTAGGAAGTCGAAGATCTAGACCTGTTAAAAGAGATACTGCATTACACACAGCAAGACACAACCACATCTATCAAATTCCTAAAGCAAGTTTTAACTACAGTCTCTGTTTAAGTAAACACTTCCTGAACAAACCTTAAATGCTGGCCTACCTCAACAGCTTGAGCGAAATGGGATGCCTGAAATCCAGTTGACATGTAGGAATTTAACAACGCTTCGTAGTCAATACCTTTGTTGAAATCATAGCCTTTAATTTCTATACGATTCTCTAATGACAACGATGACTTTTGCAGTACAAACAATGCTGCCTGCTGAGCGTCCTTGTAATCACAATTTTGCATATCCACAATGATATCCTGCACTAGATAAGAATTGAAGAGCTTAAAAAATAAAACTCAACCCTATACTTTTTAGGGTAGATTTTCTGAGGATTAAAAATTAAATTTTTTGAGAACCGGTACCTAATATCAATTTTTTAAATTAGTTGTTAGAATCACATTTCCTTCCAGTCTTAAATAAGTAGTTCATCCTAAAAAGAAGTATGCACAAGCAGAACTTCACAAGCAAAATAAAGAATATACATTAAATAGTGTAAATCATGATCATCAAAACCTATATATTACTGTTTTTACGAAAACCACTCGTTCGAAGAATTAATGACAATATTATTTCAAAAAAATAATTTTTTAATAACTGACATTACGAAAATAATAAAAAACTTCATTCAATCGCAATGCAGAGCATAACGATATTGAACAGAAATTGTAATAACTGATGCCGATGAATACAAACAAATCGAAAATAAATGTTATACTAATTAATTTCGCCTTTTAAATATGCTATGATTTTTCCACGACAAGAACAATTTCATAAATCAAATGCTAGACATAGTTTATATGCTGAAATGTTTCACAAAAATAAAAATACGTCGACGGAAAAAAACAGATCATTTTTAACGTGCAGAAAGTTCACTACTAATAAAACACCAAGTCAAAAACTTGGTAATCTATGAATTCAAAAATCAAATTTAAAAAATAAGCGCTAGAAAAAATATATTCTTGTAAATAACTATGAGCGAAAACATTTAGCAGCTTCTGCAGCTAATTCGGCTTCATTTTCAATGAGAAATAAAATATCAGACATTGTTTGCTCAATAAACATTTCTTCAACCCTCATATGCATTCCGCGTGCACCAGATGGTACTGAATAACGAAATATAGGACCAAAATTACAGCGAACTGTCGCACCTTGAAATAATGACACTGAAGGATAATAGAAACCAGCATAAATATCTTGAAATGCTTTACCACAGCTTTCTCCATTTCGATAAAATTCAATCTGTAAAAAACTTAAATTTTTTCCCATATTTTTGCAGCTCTGTATTAAATAAAGCAAGTAAAAAGATTTAAAAAAAAACAGAATGTTATAAATCAAAATCATAAAAACTTATGTCTTACTGTTTTATGAAAACTACTTCGAAAAACTGATGACAGTACTCCTGAAAAAAATGAAATTTTAAAAATCTGACTTCCTAACATAAAAAAACAAGAACACTTACCCAACTTCCTGGCACTGATCTTAGATTTTTCAGTATAGCACATACATCATCCTTTTCTTCGTAAAAGTAATTGTGTTTGAAGTTAATTAGCGGCAAATTTTTGTAAGAAGATGGTAAATAAGTTGAAGATGGCGGTAAGTCATCTACCGATTTGAAATTATACGTAACATCAGCTGGGCATTCCGGTAAAGATATCAAACATCCTAGAACGTCCCCCTCTTTAAATCCACCAGTAGCGTAATGTTTACCCTGGAATCCAGAAAGACCTGGTGAGAGAAACATCTTCAAACGATGAATTAATTTTTCTACATTATCTTTGTTCGCATATCAATGATTTAACAGATGTCTTAGTATGAATCGAAATTCAGAATGCTAACTTTCGCATGGTGAAAAATCGTGCCTTTAAGACTTCTCCAAGCGTACGATAATTGGGTATAACCAACACAAGCCTGTACCGGTGCTAAAATAAAACTGCAAATTAAACAGATGCAACCTGTAGTAACGGAAACCATGATGTGATGGAAAAAATTTTTTTGACAGAGTAACGTACCCACAGCCTGACTCCACCCAATTCTTATATGTGATCCTGGTGGTTGTGCAGTGAAAACCACTTCAAAATACCATGTACCATGGCATACTGGGTGTGTGGCACGAGCAACACAATAACCTTCAAAACCACTAACAGATAACCGATCTTCTGACAGTTTCAACTGAAAAACCAATCTGCAAATTATTAGAATAGAAAATGATTTAAAAGGCTTACAAGGAACTAACAGAAAGTACTAAAGGATGAATTGATTTATTCGCATATACATAAAAAGTAGCATGTTTTGACATTTGTTTATGTGCTAATAATCTATTATATGCTGTGCCTGCTTCAATATCTCACCCTACAACCTTTCTTAGCTAAATATTATTTCATACATGTAGGCATTAACAATGGCGGGTACCTGATAAGCGCGATCATTCGGTGATAATGTAACAAACGGATGGACTACAACACGATAAATATGAGCAGGAATCGGTTTATTATACATGCTATCTTCCATTTCAAAAACATCCCTAAGAGTTAGATTGAGCACAAAGGAATTAGTTGGCAGTAAAAGACGAAAAATATTGACACAAAAATCTGCTAAAAACAATACTTGCCCCAAACTTTACTTTCAAAGACTCTAAAACTGTGCTAAAGATCATTTCCTACTTATAATTTGGTAATTATCATTAAAAGTGATATTAAACACGACACTATAAAAATATCTTTACTATAAATTATGGAGTAAAGAACTCAGCTCTAGCTTTACCTGTTTGGAACATTAAGATCTTTTTCTACTAGATAATATCGATAGCCCTCACGATTAAATGGAAAATCAATTGGCGATGGAATTCCAGCAATACGTGTCGACGCATAATCCGCAGTACTAAAAAAATATTATATACATCGAGATTTTAAGCCTTTTTCCTTTTTTTATTAAACTCGAGTTATATAAACAACAACACTTTTATAAATGACATTGCCTTATTTCTCAGACAGAATAAATATCAGATCATTAATCAAGCTTTCACATTAACAATTCACCAACAAAATTTACAGTTTTGCTTTTTTGGATGAGCTTGAAGTATCAATACTGCGTCTTTTGGATGAGCCTCTTGTTTTGGGACCATCCACTAAATCATCAGATCTGTCTAATTTTTCCTTCGATACATCGCGTGCTGAATTTGATAGTGGTTGCTTACTCCGACCTATCTGAAGATATTTTTCTGATAAGCGTGTTTCAGACATAATAAAAAATAACCTATAATATAATTTTATAAAATGCAATAGAAGCAACGCAATTTAAAGATTTTCAATGTTTACTTGCTTCAGTGCTTCATGACCTGGACCTATAGAAGATAAATCACGTTCACGTAATGCAAACATTTGCCCATTTTCACTGGATTCGAATAATTCTGCTTCTTTAGTTAATGATTTCTGTAGTGTTTGATGCCACGTATTTTTCACTCTGTGAAAAATAAGATACCAATTATAATTTGCAAATAGATGCAGATATAACAGACAGAACTACTTTCATGTTATTAGTTTCATTAATGACTAGTATGACCTTATTTCGTAAGCCTATGCATGTATAAAATATTACTATTTCTTTCGGACTAAATAATAAGATCTTACACCTGCAATGGTTAACAAACAGAAAAACAAACAGGACAAAGATGGAAGGCCAGATATAAAATTGCTGTTATACTCGCGAATTAAAAAAAAAAAAGACCTTCTAGACATGGAAGTGAGGTTTTCCCATTGTGCATTAAAATAAGGTATAATTTCATTTTCTAAATTCAAAAATACTAATTCTTGCTCCATAGTATTCGAATCATCTTTTGGTCCAGCTTTCTTAGTTCGTGCATTATATGTTAGATTTGCAAGTACCGTTACACACATGTGCGCAAAGTCTGAAACACTATAATCAAGCGCAATAATAATTTTTTAATTGAAACTCTATTAACGTCCTCCACATACTAAAACTACTTTACAAGCAGATTTTCCACGGAACAAATTCTTCAGAAAATTTCATAGCAGCTCTAAAATTCAGCAAAATTTAAGCTTAAAGCAAAAAAAATTTAGTATTTCGATGATGCTAAATAATCAAAATCATTACTAGCTTGCTTTGGTGTCCATGTTTCTTGATTGGTAGGGCTACAATCGGCACAGTTAAAAACATAGCAAACCATGAATGGTAGCCCATAACTGTAACATACAACTATAATTTAGTTTAAAAAAGACCCCGTAAAATCCAATTGAAAGTATAATTGAAACTACAAATTACTTGAATGAATGAAGTAAAATTGATTTGTATGCTTTAAAATACGACAAAATTTGCCAAATACGCTGCTCTTGAAATGTATTTTTATATTAAAAAGCAAAAAAAAATTTTTAACTTGCGCGCACTATACAAAAATTCAGTTTCTAAACGTTATTATGTTACAGCAGATTTCATGCATTCTTAATGTTAGCTCTTAATTCACTAAGTTCAATCACTTAAGCTTACAAATCGGGTAAGTCTTTCAAACATCGCCCATGAAACCACTTTTTACATACTGCACAATAGAGCTCCAACGTTCCCACTTCGCGTTTACCATCACTGAAAATTTCTAATTACACACTAAAATGAAACTACTTTCTTGGACCTACAACTCAGTCGAAATATTCCTCTTAAACAGCTGCAACTCTTCAAGAATCAAGGAATTATGTATTTCCAAAACATGTACCAAAAGTGCGAACCACTCTCCCAAACATAAAATGGTATGCAGCCTACTAACTCGAGTACAAAGAAACTAATTTCTATCCCCTACAGAGAATATATTTCATTTTTCAGACCAGTAACAATTAGTGGTAGATGTTGGTTTCGGTGGTCCCTTACGAATATTCTTTTGTCGCATCTCTAAGCACCAAACGAACACTAAACTTCCCTTTCGACACAAATTTTTCCTGAATGAAATTTATTAGTCTTCCTCATATGCTCAAGTTTACATCATAAACTCATGCATCAAAAATCTGCCCAGACTACAAGAAAACTAGCTGTTAGTGGCAGTAAAATAATAAAATAAACTAAGCCTTATTTTGCCAACATGACAAACACCAAAGCCACATACCCCTCTCTACTGAATCCAACACTCACATTTTTGGAGTAAAGAGATAATAATTACGAAATTAAATGAGAAGGACTTATTAAAGCATTACAATAACCCTCTACAAACAACTAATGCCTTTTGAAATTCTCAATACCCATGATGAAAACAACAACGCAAAACAAGTGAATGGGTAACGTAACAACTCAGAAAGTAACAATCGCAGATTGCACGAAAATTTGGAGTAACACTTTTAATTTGAAGACATTCAATTACAGCACAAGTTTACACGATGATAACTTAATGAGCACCACACAAAACCCTGAATTGGCCATCTGTCAGTACCGTTATAAATTAGAAACTACTGTAACCCCATGGCATCACATATTCATCGATCACAAATGTTGAGATAGTACTGGATATCCATAAATAATTTAGCACAAAAAATTAATACCGCGACAGCAATGGGGTAAAATGATTGCTAATAAAATTCTCAAATTTTTTTCACGAAATTTTTA